GGTGGAGGATGACGATGAAGAGCTAACCACTACAGAGCTGCAAGAGCTTGAGGTGTAACAGCAACAGACCACAGCTCAGGAAATTGCTTCATAAGGAGGAGGAACAGAGATGGATTAAGTTGCCTTTGTCAAAGATTAAGGACATCTGTACAATGTGGACAAAGGTGCAAGCATTTATGAACATTACCCTGACACAGCCGTATTGGCAACATGTACAATGACAATACAGTGGACCCCCGGTTAACGATTTTAATCCGTGCAAGAGGGGTAATTGTTATGCGAAATAATCGTTATGTGAATGAATTTTCCCCATAAGAAATAATGGAAATAAAATTAATCCGTGCAAGACACCCAAAAGTATGAAAAAAAAATTTTTTTTACCACATGAAATGTTAATTTTAATACACACAAACTGAAAAAGGCATGCACAATTACATGACACTTACTTTTATTGAAGATCTGATGATTGATGGGATGGGAGGAGGGAGAGAGAGTGTTAGTGTTTAGAAGGGGAATCCCCTTCCATTAGGACTTGAGGTAGCAAATCCTTTTCTGGGGTTACTTCCCTTCTTCTTTTAATGCCACTAGGGCCAGCTTCAGTCACTGGACTTCTTTCGCACAAGATATCTGTCCATAGTGGCCTGTACCTCTCGTTCCTTTATGACTTGCCTAAAGTGTTTCACAACATTGTCAGTGTAATAATCACCAGCACGGCTTGCAATAGCTGTGTGAGGGTGATTTTCATCCATGAAGGTTTGCACTTCAAGCCACTTTGCACAGATTTCCTTTATCTTTGTAGTAGGCAACTTCTTCAATTTCTCTCTCCCCTCCTCTGAACCAGTTTCCCCAGGTCTGGCCTCTTGCTCTTGAAGTTAATCTATCAGCTCATCAGTGGTTAGTTCTTCATTGTCCTCCTCCACCAACTCTTCCACATCCTCCCCACTAACCTCCAACCCCAAGGACTTTCCCAATGCCACAATGGATTCCTCAACTGGAATAATCCTCTCAGGGTTAGCCTCAAACCCTTCAAAATCCCTTTTGTCTACACATTCTGGCCACAGTTTCTTCCAAGCAGAGTTCAAGGTCTTCTTAGTCACTCCCTCCCAAGCCTTACCTATAAGGTTTACACAATTGAGGATATTAAAGTGCTCTCTCCAAAACTCTCTTAGAGTCAGTTGAGTTTCTGAGGTCACTACAAAGCACCTTTCAAACAGAGCTTTTGTGTACAGTTTTTTGAAGTTTGCAATAACCTGCTGGTCCATGGGCTGCAGGAGAGGAGTGGTATTAGGAGGCAAAAACTTCACCTTAATGAAGCTCATGTCCCCATAAAGTCGCTCTGCCACGTCTGTAGGATGACCAGGGGCATTGTCTAACACCAGGAGGCACTTAAGGTCTAATTTCTTTTCAGTTAGGTAATCTTTCACATTGGGGGCAAATGCATGGTGTAACCAGTTATAGAAAAAGTCCCTAGTGGCCCATGCCTTACTGTTTGCCCTCCACAGCACACACAAATTATCCTTGAGGACATTCTTTTGCCTGAACGCTCTGGGAGTTTCAGAGTGATACACTAATAAAGGCTTAACTTTGCAATCACCACTAGCATTGGCACACATCAGCAAAGTAAGCCTGTCTTTCATAGGCTTATGTCCTGGGAGTGCCTTTTCCTCCTGAGTAATGTAGGTCCTGCTTGGCATTTTCTTCCAGAACAGGCCTGTTTCATCACAATTAAACACTTGTTCAGGTTTCAGTCCTTCACTGTCTATGTACTCCTTGAATTCCTGCACATATTTTTCAGCCGCTTTGTGGTCCGAACTGGCAGCCTCACCATGCCTTATCACACTATGGATGCCACTACGCTTCTTAAATCTCTCAAACCAACCTTTGCTGGCCTTAAATTCACTCACATCATCACTAGTTGCAGGCATTTTTTTAATTAAATCCTCATGCAACTTCCTAGCCTTTTCACATATGATCGCTTGAGAGACGCTATCTCCTGCTAGCTGTTTTTCATTTATCCACACCAATAAGAGTCTCTCAACATCTTCCATCACTTGCGATCTTTGTTTCGAAAACACAGTTAAACCTTTGGCAAGAACAGCTTCCTTGATTGTCTTTCTGGTGCCCACAATAGTAGCGATGGCTGATTGGGGTTTCTTGTACAACTTGACTAGGTCGGCGATACGCACTCCACTTTCATACTTATCAATGATCTCTTTCTTCATTTCAATGGGAATTCTCACCCTTATTGGTGTACGGTTGGCACTAGAATCTTTCTTGGGGCCCATGGTCACTTATTTTCCAGAAACAGCACCGAAAACACTGTAATAATACGAAATATTCCGAGTGTATGCTTGGATGTTACCGCGGAGGCTGGCTGGTAAACAATGGCACGGGTGGCACATGTGAGGCTGGCTGAGGGCGCACATTGGACGCGTCTCGGACGAAAATCGGTGAGCGGGTTTTTAATCGGTATGCCCGGCAAAATTTTTGCGATTAAAGTAAGCGGTATGCGGATTAATCGCTATGTGATGCCATCGTTATGCGGGGGTCCACTGTATTGTGTCCCATTTTAGTAACAACACTAGTAATCCCAATAACAACACTAGTAACCCCAGTAACAACACTAGTAACACCAGTAACAACAACAGAGCTCTCTGGACAGATTTTTGGAGCTACACGGGTCCAGTGACTCAAGCTGGTCCTAGTGCCATTAAAAAACAAAGAAGGGAGGTAACCCCAGAAAAGGATTTGTTACCTTAAGTCTTTATGGAAGGGGATTCCTCTTCCAAACAATTGTAAACTCCTCCATCCTCTGCCCTCCTCCCATCTCATCACTCATCAATACATCTTCAATAAAGGTGTCATTTCAAAATTGTTTATTCTGCATGTCTCATTGTTTTCTGTGTAGGGAAATGTATATTTCATGTAAAAAAAATTATTTTGTTTAATACTTTTGGGTGTCTGGAACGGATTAATTAGATTTCCATTATTTCTTATGGGGAAAATTAATTTGGATAGCGATAAATTCGGATAAAGATAAGCTCTCTGGAACAGATTAATATCATTACCCAAGGGTCCACTGTAAATTGTGAAGAAGATAATTACTACAATGAGTAGTCAGTACACATTTTTTTGGTGTGTGTGTGTGTGTGTGTGTGCATGTGTGCATGTGGGCACACACATTGTAGATTTCATGCACTGTCTGCACAGTTTTTGGAAATCAGGATTTAGATCAGCTCCTGCCACAACAAATCTGGATCTGACTGTACTCTTTTAATGTGAGTCACAATGCATTCACATTAAAAATAAGGCATGTCTTTAAACACTGAATTTGAATGGTTAAAATAAATCTTAGAACTGAATACACAGCATCATACTGTACTTAATATAAATTAACATCAAAGCAAATTAACAATGTTCAACTTGAATATTACCATGCCGAATCACTCAACAAATTTTGACAACAACATGGATGTGGCAAAGCCGTTCCAGGCTATCTCAAGATGTTAGGTAACAAAGCAGGCAGGCTTACCACAGTTCAAAAAATTTATATCGTGTATGTACTGCAATGATATCTTACATCACAGTCCTTATTATTCCCTTGAGTACATTGTTTACCTCATATATCTTAAATTATTAACCAGTGCTTATGATTATATAAATATATACTGCATGATGTGTGCAGTACTATGAAACTTGAAGGTGGAATTTATACTCGTCCAGTATTCATTTAAGTATTGTTACACAGTGGTCACAATTTGGAAAGTCCTGTGACTTAACCAAGGAACAGGTGGGGTCTGAACCCATGGGTTCAGACTCCACCTGTTCAATGGTTTGCTTTCTATCATGTTATTACAATTTCATGAGTCCTGTGACTTGCTGGGATGGCTCTACCTGACTACCATGGATACCTAGGTAAGTGTTCCTTTGATTAGCTAAATGACCAAGTAACTGTTTGAAAGGGTTCTCTCAAGGAGGTTCCTTGATGCCAGTGAGGGGCTCTTGATTGAGCTTGACAGCTTCCCATTTCCCCAGGTGCTGTATAACCCCACACAGGTTTAGCACCTCTCCTCTCCATGAATTTATTAAAATAATAATGTTAGAAAGGGTATATCTGACAGCCTAAGTGTTAAGGTGGGGAACTGGGGTTAAAATATGAGAGAATAAATTATAGGGTGAAAACACACTCACTGTGGGTCCATATGCATTAGAGTGATTTGCTTGTACTAATACTAATTAAGTGTAATTACATACTTACAACTTTGGCCCATGTCAGGCAAAAGTGAGAAAAAGTACTAGTCATAATTTACAGGGTTAATATTCACTTTTTATTTTCAAATAAGAGCAAGATGAAGCCTAATTTTGTGAGGAGTAATGCAGGTGGAAATGGACTTCTGATACAAGTGAGGCAGTATCACTTTACTTATTTACAATTCATTATTTTTTCATTATTTCTCACACAGGGAGGTAGAGCTTGAAAATTTTTTTAAGGCAACTGTATTTGGTAGCTTCAAAGCTCAGACATAATAAACAAGTTTCAGTAAACTTGGGAATAAATTAGTATACACTTTAATAAATAGAGCACCCACAATTTCCTTACATAAGCTGTCAATGTGAGAAATAGCACACACTATGTTACCAAACTAAATATTAAAAGTACAGTACCTATCACCAAAGACAAGTACTAAGTAAATCCACAGTATGTTTAATTAGTCATTATCATGGGCAATCAGTCAAATAACTCTTTGACCATGACTACAAATAAAAACGTGATATTTGTTTATACTAAAGGGATTCCTCTGATAATTTTGGATATTCTTCAACTACAAAAATATACACACAAGCCTCCCTAAACCACAAGCAACAATCACCAAAGTTAATCTGAAACCCCAAAGAGCATGTTTAAAACGAGGTTTATAATACCTCACCTTCTCCTTGGGGTTAGTAGGAGATGCGTTAATTCCACCACAACCCAGCATTTCATTTTGTCTTTTCCTTACCTCTGGATTCCCACTCTGGAATTTCAGCCCAAGAAATATGAAAAAAAAAAGAAAAAAAAAAAAAAAAAAAGGAAAGTGATCAATCATGCTATGAAATAAATCAATAGTCAACATTATTTGTGATCAGACTAGACAGACTCTTGATTATCCAATATAACAGAATTTAAAATGATGAGTAAAACTGACTCACATGTCAATGACAATATTCTACTGCACAATCAGATTTTATTACTCATTTTAATTAAACAAATATGCACTTTTGTTAGACCCCACATCACACTGTCTTCTGATGACTGTCCCTTTTCACTATCTTTGGATTGATAGTCCCTTTTATCATTTTAGATGTGGTTTTCAATATCCTAACATTCTTTTTCAATCCTCCTCTCTGACTGTCCCAACATTAATGTAGGTTTGCCCTATGATATTTTAACTGACATCGATTTGCTGCATCAATTGTAACCACGTGCCTGTCTGCTGATGTCCTTCTCTCAACACCAATAGCTCTCCTCCTCTGCAGTTTCCTTCACCTCTGTCATGCAGTGCTGAATGACGCTAACAAGTTTAGCATTTTCTATGAATATAATAATAATTCCAATGTGCAACTAGGGAATTCAAAATAAACCTCCATGTTCCTTATTTTTGGTGTACTGTATTTTTAATTATTTTCATTCCTAGACATCCGTCTCGTACATCTTATCTCTCTGTCCTATTATCATGCCATTTATCCACTATAACACTTAAATTCTTCACTGAGAATTTTTTTTGTCCATTCAGACATTCTTTTCATATCTATTTTTTTTCCATTTCCACACTGCCTCAGTAAATCAACAGTTTTATAGTGGCAACTGCACTCTTTTAACACTGCACCCATACCTACTACATCTCTGCTTCTTTTACTGTTAACTATTTATTTTTCAAACACCTTATACCTATTTAAAACAAAATAATACCAACTGCTTTTAGTCTATCAATCATCTCTAACTCAAACATACAAAACAATATTGTACCAGTAATCTGGATAAATTTATTTAGAAATCCAACCCGCACCTGAAGCCTTATTATCGTCAGTATCCTGTTTGATACTGTTAACTTTCTCTAATATATTAGCTTCATATTCTACATTCTTCTAAAGCATTAAAAGAAAAAAATATATTACATTTCTGCCTAAAAAAGCACACTGCACATTTTGACTACTGTTTGCCAAATAAAACTGACCCATAAATATTCAACCTTATGAGGAAAACACCCCCACAGTACCTAACTTAATCTGTGGTGTATATTTGACAGAATGGTTGAAACTGACAAATGCAGAGCACAACTTTTACCAAGATAACATTTTGCTTGCAGAACAAGCTTCATCAAATTAATAAAAAAATATTTAGGAAATGCCTGAATACTGTATTGATCTACACACACAATGCGACTGAGAACCATGGAAACCTTCAGGTACACATAGTTTCATATACACACAAGATGTAGTATGCAGTAGGGATCCTGCAGTAGTTCCTGGATGAACCAGCAGAACACCTGCTATACTCCACCACTCTGTGATCTCATACGTCACCTTCCCAGTTAGTTACACCTAACTTCATGGTGGTATAAGTACACTTACTGTGTATCATTTCGTGTTGCACTGAAAAAGCCTGTTATACATTGTCTCAAAAGTTTTGTCCTGCATTTGAGCTTAATTCAACCTTGATCTGTGGTATTAACTTCAGACTCAAGACACGATAGTTTTATTTGTCAGGAACAGAAAGAGTTGACATATTTTTTTTACAGGATGACTACACAGTGATTAAGTAAATGCTGGCAAACCAGTGATGTATTCCTGTAGCTAAGCCTCCACTTGCTTACTAGTTAGGTTTGCCACTACATTTAAAAACAAAGGCACACCATATATTTCCTAGGATAATTTTCTACTCAAAAATGTCTTTTTCTTAAAGTAAACACTTTAATTACTATATAGACTCTCATAACATTATCTGTTCCCCTTTAACTGGATCTTAAAAGTTTTTGTACCGACTGATAAGTACAGGTGAACAGGGAGATAAATATATGGTAGAAAGGGTTTTCATTTTTAAATACAGTACTGTACAGTATTTTGAAAAATGTTTTATAGAATTTTCTTTGTGTTATGATGGATGGAATAAAATTTCACTCACTGTCTATCTGAACTTTACTTCAAACAAGTATTTGCTATTTTGGATAATCATAATTCTAAATAGAATGATTCCTGATAACTGTAACAATATACGTATTGGTGTAACTTAACATTTCCATGGGACAAATAGCAATAAAATATTCTACTACAAAAAAAAAAAAAAAAAAAAATTATAAATATATAAAACAGGCATATAATAATACATGTAATTACAAAACTAAATTTTCACAATGTGTCATACATAAAAGACTTAAAAACAGTGTGCTAAAATAAAGCAAAATTACCCAACTGTAAATCCCATATAACCAAAAAGAAAATTTAATCCCAGTGCATATTACAAATAATATATTAAACAGGAGAATCAAGCTACAATATACAAGACCCATTATAAACTTTACTTGTATATTTTCCCCATAAAGAAAATGAAAAATTGCAGAGAAGCAAGGTGTAGGGAGCCTGTGTGAAAGAATATTCAAAGCACTTAGGCAGAAGATGGGTTTACATACTGTGACATGGGAGGCTAGTGTAGAGGATTATATGAAGTCCCTCAGCTAGGCAGGATAGGATGTCTTTGTCCACTCTTCCCTCGTAGGGAAGGAAGCTTTCACCCGACACTCAACCATTAGTTGTGGTGATTTGTTTGGTAGGTTGTCATTCATGGCTAGTGTTTTCTATGTCACTTGCAACACGAGCTGCATGGCCTTGTAGTGGGCTTTAAGTCATGCTAGTTGCAGAAGGACTGAAACACTCCCATCCAACTTAACTATTTATTGGTGAAACCTTGTGGTCACTGCCACATCTGTCTGGTCCTACAGCTTTGTAGTGTTTTGAACCAGTATTTCATCCTCTTCCCCCATCATAAAAGTTAGCATTCAATGGGCACTTTGGTCAGTCTTCTCTTTGACATTCTCCACTGCATCAGCTATCTGTTGTTATAGTTTTTTGATCAAGTTTCAAGGAACACCACAGGTCATGGGATATTCAGCCCTACATCTTGGCACCCTAGGATGAAATATTCTCCAAAGCTGGGAGTAAGCACTTCCAACTGGGTAATGTTGCCCTCTGTCTTAACCCAGTGTGGTGCAGTTGCAAAATACTGTATTCTCATGCTACACTTTCTTACCTTAGTGTCCTCACCATCTGACATGGCAGTGTCCACAACAACATAACCAATTACACTGGTGTCACCTTCTGTCACTTCATACTCAAAGCAGTTTTTGATGTGACATTCCAATGCTTTTTTTTTTTTTTTTGGGGTTATACTGTACAAATATCTGGTGCATCAAATAAAGATTATATAACCCCACTAAGATCTTGTGCAGTAACATACATTCAGATATAGTGCAACATCACTGTGAGTGAAGTATCGAAGCTCGCCCACTAATGCCCTTTGACATTTTTGTCACACTTTCACCACTTCACTACATTATTCCTTTAATATCTCTGGTCCACAGTATATTTAGGATGGATATATTTCATGTGTTAAAATGGCTGACATTTGAAAAAAAAAATCTCGAAGTTATTAACAAGAGTGCAGGTAAATGTTTACAGATGCTTCCATAGGAACCATGTGTTCAGACCAATTCAACTTGGTCTCCAGGTGAGAAGCTTTGGGCCAGAAATCTTAAAAACAATCTCTTTTCAGAGACAGACATGGTATGGGTAAGGAATGGTATGATACAGGGTGTTTATGAAGGCTACTGGTGGCACCTGCAGTCCACTGATGTCCATAACCAAGTCAAAAGATCTCTTTGTTGTTGGAAAATAGCTTATTACTGGAACATACTGTTTGGACACTGTACACATAGTATGGGATAATTTGCTAGTGTTCTACACATCCTCACTGGTGTCCTATTTATCAATTGTCTTAAAGGCATCCCTTTTGCAGTCTTAAACCCTGGCCACATGACTGGTCTGTGTTTCAGAATACTCATTGTAACTAGTCATCATTTACTGACAAGAAAGGTTTAGGCAATACACTGTTACATGGAAAGGTAATGGTGACTGCTGCTCTAAACCACTGTGTTGCCAGCCCTGAATACCCCAAACTGTCACATGGGATGATTCATCCCACACAAAATTAGCTAAATACACTTACTTAAAAAACATGACTTCTCATTTAAAAGATTACACCTGAATATGGCTCTTATAGAGAGTTTTATTGCTATATGTATACTAATATAAAATAACCATACCTTATCCTTGTCATCATCATCAGCCTCATCTTCATCCGCAGAGTAATCATTATCTTCTTCTCTGTGCATCATAGTGCCAACTATTGAGAGTATCTGAAATGTTTTTGAACATTATTATTTATACATGTACAAGTATACAAATAAATCAGTAGGCCATACATTTAAAAAAAAAATAATAAAAAATACTACCTAATTAAATAACACAGTTTCAATATGGGATGATATACTGCATGGTGAAAACTACACTGATATCTAAGGAAGTAAGGTTGTTATTAGAAACTCCTTTTAAATAGGGTGCCTTGATGCCAGTAAAAGGGATTCTGATCCAAGGAATTTGAGCTACCCTCCCCTGCCTTGGATCAATCTGATTGCTTTTTCCCCATGCATTATATTTTCATTATGACTTATAGTTTCACAGGGTTACTATTTTAAAGAGAAATACAAATGAATATATTTAATAACCTTGGTATGTACTCTATATACAAAAAAGTAAATATAAAATCTAGAAACTTACAATATAATTTCGGAGGTACAGGATTAACAAGATGATAGGAATCATGTATGGTTCAAAGCAGTACGTTCCAACCATGAACACAATGAAGGCTATAGTACTTCTGACTGGATACTCCCACTCAAAGCAAGACCTGCAATGGAATTCATGAATAAAAAATTACAGAGTACATGAGGCAGCACACTGTGACCAAATCATTAAAGTATTTTGTGGAAAGTCTGAGTTAATGGTTTGCTGTGTAAAAAAATTGCCAACTGAATATGGTATATGGTTCCAACTGAACTTTATGAGAAGTAAGGAAAGAATACTGTACAGTAATAAGTACTATAATGTAATCCTTGCATAGACAGATACAGAAACACCTGCCCCTCAAGGGAGGTTCCTTGATGCTGGTGAGGGGCTCTTGATTTAGGAAATTAGATCTGTGCTCCAGTTCCCTGAACTGGGCCTGAATACATTCTACCCCCCCTCACAGGTGCTATATAATCCCTATGGGTTTAGCACTCCCCCGTGATTATAATAATAATAATAACAGAAACACCCAGACACAAGAACAAATGCTGCTCTCCCATTACAAACACACAGGTATAGTACTCATGTACAGTGCATGACGCTTAAGTCATTTGCCATTCCATATGTACAATATGAACCTATTGAAGGCAAATTGGTACAATTAGTGTCTTCTACATGCACTTGATCCAAGGTATTAGTGCTATCCTTCCCTTCATAAGTTTGCCTGTGATACTACAATATAGAACCTGTGTATTGTGCCAAAACAAAAGCATTTACATTGCTAAACTCACAAACTATAATGTAGTCACTTAGCCTTAACCCTTTGACTGTCGCGGCTGTATATATACGTTTACGAGGTACCGTGTTTGACGTATATATACTCATAAATTCTAGCGGCTTCAAATCAGGCAGGAGAAAGCTGGTAGGCCCACATGTGAGAGAATGGGTCTGTGTGGTCAGTGTGCACCATATAAAAAAAATCCTGGAGCACGCAGTGCATAATGAGAAAAAAAAAACTCCGACAGTTTTTTTAATTAACCCCTTGACTGTCACAACCCCCAATCCTGAGGTGTCTCCTGGTGTCGCAAAATTTAAAAAAAAAAAAAAAAAAAAAAAAAAAAAAAAAAAAAAAAAAAAAAAAAAAAAAGATTTTTTCTTATGAAATGATAGAGAATCTTTTCCCGATTGTAATGACACCAAAAAAACAAAATTTGATGGAAAACTGATGGAATTACGCTCTTGTGAAGTTAGCGACCTCGGCGATATTTACAAATCGGCGATTTCGCCCACTTTGAGCCCTATTTTCGGCTAATTCCATTGTTCCAGTCGACAAAACTCATAGCTCTTTCTTTAGAACTCCGTTTTTTCTATCGACTGAGTACAAGAAACTGCCCATTTACTAATTTCAACTACCCAATAACGTGGTCAGAAATTTGCAATTTGGCCAATTTCACGAAAATTAAAAAATATGACAATTTCAAAATAAGGTCTAGAATGAACAATGCAGACATTTCTGGCTCTAAAATAACATTTTCTTTGTTCATCAGTCATGTCTCCAGGCCCCTCTGATATTACTCTTGCTTTCTATTTTGAATTTTTATTCAAACAAAAAATAGAAGATTTACTATTATGCAGACTACTGCAATACTGTAATAATTGTGTAAATAACATCAACCCATTCATGACTGCATATTAGAATGGCTAGTTGGACACTTATTGGACAATGACACCCCTCATGGAAGGTTCCTTGATGTTGGTGAGGGGCTCTTGATTTAGGGAATTGAATCTGTGCTCCAGTTCCCCGAATTAAGCCTGAATGCCTTCCACATCCCCCCCTGGGCGCTGTATAATCCTACGGGTTTAGCGCTTCCCCCTTGATTATAATAATAATGGACAATGACATCATTTGTTTACTTTTGAACATCGGCAAAAATCGAACATTTCCCCTACTTTGAGCTCCATTTCCAGGTTCTTTTTATAGTAAAATTAATCAAAATCACCTCTATTTCTATAATATGTTTTCCATTCTATCAAATGAGACCAAGAAAACGAGAATACAACCATAAATACTATACGAAAATAGATCACAAAGTCGGCATTTTAATTAAAAAAAAAAAACGGTCTGAGTTTTTTTTTCTCATTATGCACTGCGTGCTCCAGGATTTTTTTATATGGTGCACACTGACCACACAGACCCATTCTCTCACATGTGGGCCTACCAGCTTTCTCCTCCTTGATTTGAAGCTGCTAGAATTTATGAGTATCTATATACGTCAAACACGGTACCTCGTAAGACGTATATATACGGCCGCGACAGTCAAAGGGTTAAAATGCCGAATTTGTGGTCTATTTTCGTATAGTATTTATGGTTGCATTCTCGTTTTCTTGGTCTCAATTGATAGAATGGAAACTATATTATAGAAATAGAGGTGATTTTGATTAATTTTACTATAAAAAGAACCTGGAAATGGAGCACAAAGTACGGGAAATGTTTGATTTTTGCCGATGTTCAAAAGTAAACAAATGATGTCATTGTCCAATAAATGTCCAAATAGCCATTCTAATATGCAGTCATGAATGGGTTGATGTAATTTTTACAATTATTACAGTATTGTAATAGTCTGTATAACAGTAAATCTTCTATTTTTTGTTTGAATAAAAATTCAAAATAGAAAGCAAGAGTAATATCAGAGGGGCCTTTAGACATGACTGATGAACAAAGAAAGTGTTATTTTAGAGCCAGGAATATCTGCATTGTTCATTCTGGTCCTTATTTTGAAATTGTCATATTTTTTAATTTTCGTGAAATTGGCCAAATTGCAAATTTCTGACCGTGTTATTGGGTAGTTGAAATCGGTAAATAGGCAGTTTCTTGTACTCAATCGATGGAAAAAATGGAGTTCTGAAGAAATAGCTATGAGTTTGGTTGACTGGAATAATGGAATTAGCCGAAAATAGGGTTCAAAGTGGGCAAAATCGCCAAGGTCGCTAACTTCGCGAGAGCGTAATTCCGTCAGTTTTCCATCAAATTTCGTTATTTTGGTGTCTTTACAATCGGGAAAAGATTCTCTATCATTTCGTAAGAAAAAATAATATTTTTTTTTTTTGAAATTTTGCGACACCAGGAGACACCTCAGGATTGGGGGTTGCGACAGTCAAAGGGTTAATACCAACTTACTCCATAATCTATATTAATTTAGAGTTAAGAATTAATCTAAGTCTGCCCGAAATGCCTAGCCATGCTAGGTGTCCTAGTGGCCCCCTCTGTAATTAGTATTTTATAACATGTAAACCACACAATATCCAAAACCTGTAAATCCCGCATTGTAATCTTTATAGAGAATAAACTTGATTGATTGACTGATTGATTCCTTGGCTCAAACCTGACTGTCTCCCATCCCCCAGAAGCTGTATGACCCATACTGTACCTATAATTTGATTACGTAAGTCAATAATTCCTTTAAAGAATTTTTCCTATTATTCAGCAACCATCATTATTTCTCTAACACTCTCCTAATCCTCTTTTTTTAATTTCTTCACAAAGAAATCTTTATATAAACTGAGTAGTTTCTATGTTTACTGGTAGTTAATGTAATAAAAAAAAGAACAATAATATGTAATAATATAATAATAATAATAATAATAATAATAATAATAATAATTAAATAATAATACTTTTATGTTCATGAGGAAGATCCTTGGAAATGTGAAGCAATCTGTCTTGATCTAAGGAAAGGAAAAACAAAACTCCAACCAATGTCTTAAAAAAGAAAATAATAATAATAAAAATAAACAGGTAATAATAATAATAACAATAATGGTACTCACTTGACAAACATTCCCATTTCATAGACATCCATGATGCATGCCTTAAGGCGGTTTACATTTGTAATGAACACTTGACGTTTAAATTTCTGCTCCATCTGCATGTACTTTTCTTCTTTAGGTGTAAAAGTTCTGATAGCAGCTCGAATCTAAATAAAAAAGATAACGTATAATTTTTCAATTATGGTACATACACTTCTGTACATAATGCAAATTATTATTCAAAATCAATTAATCAATCCCTCTTCATACAACTAGGCGAGTATGCATGTATGCACGCGCGCACACATGCTATTTTTCATATTTCTGGACTATATATATGTTATTGTGTCATATTACTGGTACTGTACTGCATATGCTACAAAATGTAAAAACCAGATTTAACAAATTTTGGAAAGAGTGGACAAAATTCACTGGGAACTTTGATGTCAGAAGCAGCAGAAAAATACACAAATAACCCGCACATAAAAGAGAGAAGCTTACGACGACGTTTCGGTCCGACTTGGACCATTGACAAAGTCACACTAACCAGAGGTGGAGTAGGACGGCTATATATAGGCAGGAAGAGGTGATAGTAGTAGTAGTAGTAGTAGAATAATGGTATATAATACCATTCTTGTACTACTACTACTACTACCATCACCTCTTCCTGCCTATATATAGCCGTCCTACTCCACCTCTGGTTAGTGTGACTTTGTCAATGGTCCAAGTCGGACCGAAACGTCGTCGTAAGCTTCTCTCTTTTATGTGCGGGTTATTTGTGTATCGTTCCAGTCACGGTATTGTGCCTTTTTTGTTATTCAGCAGAAAAACTTTATTAGTTACAAAATTATGTGTTATTGTTACAATCTATTGGGTAAATTTATTTCAGAAACAATGGACAAAGTCCACGATTACATTCACTGTCTTTTAATGTTACAATCATAGCAAACAATCTCGTTCAGATTTATCAGAAAACTGCCATTACTGGACACCATTTTATCAAGGTTTCAATATTCAATGAGAATGTGCAAATTATTTACCATGTAAATTATAAAATATGGATAAGATAGTGTATTTCTGAAATCCTTTAAGCATCATACTTGCACAAACATACAAATTTTAAGTGCTGTTAATAAATGTACAAGTCTTTAACCCTTTGACTGTTGCGGCCTTATATATACATCTTACGAGGTACCGTGTTTGACGTATATATACCCATAAATTCTAGCGGCTTCAAATAAAGCAGGAGAAAAGCTGGTAGGCCCACATGTGAGAGAATGGGTCTGTGTGGTCTGTGTGCACCACATAAAAAAAATCCTGGAGCATGCAGTGCATAATGAGAAAAAAAAACTCCGACCATTTTTTTAATTAAAATGCCGACTTTGTGGTCTATTTTCGTATAGTATTTATGGTTGTATTCCCATTTTCTTGGTCTCATTTGATAGAATGGAAAACATATTATAGAAGTAGAGGTGATTTTGATTGATTTTACTATAAAAAGAACCTGGAAATGGAGCTCAAAGTAAGGAAAATGTTTGATTTTTGCCAATGTTCAAAAGTAAACAAATGATGTCATTGTTCAGCAAATCTCCAACTAGCCATTCTAATATGCAGTCATGAATGGGTTGATGTTATTTATACAATTTTTACAGTATTGCAGTAGTCTGCATAATACTAAGTCTTCTATTTTTTGTCTGAATAAAAATTCAAAATAGAAAGCAAGAGTAATATCAGAGGGGCCTGGAGACATGACTGATGAACAAAGAAAATGTTATTTTAGAGCCAGGAATGTCTGCATTGTTCATTCTGGACCTTATTTTGAAATTGACATATGTTTTAATTTTCGTGAAATTGGCCAAATTGCAAATTTCTGACCATGTTATTGGGTAGTTGAAATCGGTAAATGGGCAGTTTCTTGTACTCAATCGATAGAAAAAATGGAGTTCTAAAGAAATAGCTATGAGTTTGGTCGACTGGAACAATGGAATTAGCCGAAAATAGGGCTCAAAGTGGGCGAAATAGCCGATTTGTAAATATCGCCGAGGTTGCTAACTTCACAAGAGCATAACTCCGTCAGTTTTCCATCAAATTTCGTTTTTTTGGTGTCATTACAATCGGGAAAAGATTTTCTATCATTTCATAAGAAAAAATAATTTTTTTTTTTTTGAAATTTTGCGACACCAGGAGACACGTCAGGATTGGGGGTTGCGACAGTCAAAGGGTTAAGAAAACAAGAGCTTTACAAAGCCAATAAATATGTAAATAATAACGTGCTAAATCAAAGAAGAACCATATACAGTGGTACCTTGACTTACGAGTGCCCAACTTATAAATTTTCCAAGTTACGAGCTGTCGCTCAGTCAATTTTTTGCTTTGAGTTGCAAGCCAAAATCCAAGTTACGAGCGAGCTTCAGATACGCCGCCACTAGTTGGTGGTGTATCTGAAGTCAAATCCAACTCTGTACCCAGAGGAATGTCAGGTACTTTGTCCCATCCCACAAGCTCTTCCAAGACATAACTGGAAGGACAATACTCCCAAATCGTAGTGAGGCACCTCGTCCCTTGTTTGGTTCTCGTATAAATCCGGGGAAGAGCTAACCTCCATTTCAACACTCAGAATTTTCCCAGAAACATTAAGGAAGGCCTCTGTGATATTTACCTGCCTCACAGAGGTTCCTTCACTAGGTGGAGTAGTGATAGTGGTGGGTAGAGTAGTGATAGTGATGGGTGTAGTAGTGATGGTAGTGGATGGAGTAGCAATAATGGTGGGTGGAGTAGATATGGTGGTGGGTGTAGTAGATATGGTGGTGGGTGGAGTAGTGAGGGTGGTGGGTGGAGTAGAGATGGTGGGTGGAGTAATGATAATAGTGGGTGGAGTAACAATAGTGGTGGGTGGAGTAGTGAGGGTGGTGGGTGGAGTAGTGATAGATGTGGGTAGAGTAGTGATAGTGGTGGGTGGAGTAGTTATGGTGGTGGGTGGAGTAGTGAGGGTGGTGGGTGTAGCAGAGATGGTGGTGGGTGTAGTGAGGGTGGTGGATGGAGTAGTGAAATGGTGGGTGGAGTAGTGAGGGTGGTGGGTGTAGCAGAGATGGTGGTGGGTGTAGTGAGGGTGGTGGGTTGAGTAGAGATGGTGGTGAGTGGAGTAGTGAGGGTGGTGGTGTAGGTGTAGAGTGTAGTAGTGATTGTGGTGGAGTATATGATGTGGAGAGTGTGGTGGTATGAGTAGTGGAGGTGGTGGGTCAGAGTAGTGGAGGTGTGGGCAGAGTAGTGAAGGTGGTGAGTAGAGTAGTGAAGGTGGTGGGTAGAGCAGTGAAGGTGGTGGGTAGAGTAGTGAAGGTGGTGGGTAGAGCAGTGAAGGTGGTGGGTGGAGTAGTGAAGGTGGTGGGTAGAGCAGTGAAGGTGGTGGGTGGAGTAGTGAAGGTGGTGGGTGGAGTAGTGAAGAGTGTAACAAATAAGTTAAGCCATTAAGCCTATCTCCTCTGCCTATCTTTTTCATCCTCCACTTCCACCAGCATCCTCCCTTTTATTTATTTATTTATTTATTTAGAAATTTAGCATACAAACAGAGGTACAAAAAATACAGGTAAGAGCAGCATGCCAAAGCCACTTATATGCATAGCATTACGGGCTGGCTTAAAATTAACTTAAGATTAACTAAGCAATGATGAAATCAGTGATAAGACATTATTGTAAACAGATAACTATAAAATACAAATGAGTATTACAAAGACAGGTCCTATGCTTGCATGCATAGAATGGAGTATTCTGTTAGGTAGTGTATTTAAAAAAAATAACAAAGTTAGGTTTAACATTTGTGTGATATAATTGTGAGTAACATTTAGGATAATACAATTTATATGGTTCAGTTATTCAGAAATTTATTTGGTTTTGAGTGAGTAAGTGAACTTTGAGAAGAGACTTGAATTTATAAACAGGTAGTGTTTCTTTTATATTTAAAAGGGTAATGAATTCCAGATTTTAGGGCCTTTTATGTGCATTGAGTTTTTGCATAGCGTGAGATGGACACGAGGAACATCAAAGAGTGATCTGTGCCTTGTATTATGGTCATGTGTTCTGTTGAGGTTGGCAAGGAGATGTTTGAGGGGAGGGTTAATATCAGAGTTAAGTGTTTCTATGTATGTAATAAGTGCAATAATAAGTATGGATGTTTTGTATGGTGAGTAGGTTGAGTGTTTTGAATATTGGTGGAGTGTGCTGCCTGTAGTGAGAATTTGTTATCATTCAAAACTGCAGCCTTTTGTTGGGTAATTAGTGGTCTGAGATGGTTAGTTGTTGTTGAGCCCCATGCACAAATTCCATAGGTGAGATAGGGGTAAATAAGAGAGTGATAAAGGGCCAGGAGGCTGACTGTGGAACATAGTACCGTATCTTCGATAGTATGCCTACAGTCTTGGAAATTTTCTTAGAAATTTGTTGTATATGTGTATGAAATTTGAGTCTATTATCGAGGTGGATTCCTAAGAATTTTCCCTCTGTTAGCTTTGTGATAGGTGATCCGTTTATCGTTATGTTAAGAGGTACATCTGTAGCTCTGCTACCAAACTGAATGAAGTAGGTTTTGTCAATGTTTATGTAAGTTTGTTAGTCCTCATCCAGGTAGATATTTCTGTAGTTCGGTGTTTACAGTATTGGCTAGCGTGACTGGGCTCGGTGAGAGAAGACGTATGTGGTGTCATCTGCAAAAAGTGTGGGTTTGAGTAATTGCGAAGCATTTGGTAGGTCATTTATGTATAGGAGAAAAGAAAGAGGGCCAAGGACACTTCCCTGTGGGACACCAACTGTAATTGGTTGTGCGGAAGAGCTTGCCCCATTTGCGTACACATATTGGCTTCTGTTGCTGAGGTAAGACTTGAGGTATTGAGGGAGTGCCCTCTAATACCATAGTGTGACAATTTTACATGGAGCAAGTCATGGTCAACTGTATCAAAAGCTTTACATAAGTCAATGAAGATCCCCAGTGGACTTCTTTTTTCTCTATTGCAGTGTATATATGTTCTAGCATGTGTATAATAGCATCATTAGTATTTTTATTAGGCCTGAATCCAAATTGGCAGGGGTTGAGAATGTTAGGGGAGATGAGGTAGGAGTAGATTCGTTTATGAATTAATTTTTCGAAGATTTTTGAGAGAGGTGTAAATTGGATATT